AGAGGGTGTAATGACAAAGGGACGTCGAAAGTAAAGATAACACCGAAAAGCCGACCACAACCACCCCCTTCAAACAAGCAAAAGGAGAGGCCAAGTTCGAAACTCCGATAAGTTCGATGCAAACACTTTTCAGGATGAAGCCCCTCTTAAAAAAAGTATGTGACGAACTTCCCAAGAACGAGATGGTCACTCCGACCACCTTCCCTACTATGCGTTCACCTAAAACGGGATGCCCTCTTTGACCAGTTCACCTATAACCTGTTTCCCTATGACGACTTGGCTGTGACGAGTGGGCCTGTTCCCGTAGGAAACGAGGTCAATCTCTTTCTATGTACAGTTTCTGTGGAAGGTCCGTTTTTTTTTTTTTTTTTTTCGAGCTGGGACTGGGAGTGGGAAGCCCTGGGAAAGCCACAGTGCGCGACAAAGGCCATTCAGGGCGTAGTTTGAGGCAGCAGAATGTAGCTTTGTGAGTCCTTCATTCAAACTAGCCCCCTCACGGACACACACACAGAAAAACAAAAAATAAAAACAATCCTGCTTAGGGTACCTACTCGCAGCCCATACGAGAACCAGAACCGAAGAATGCCTAAAGCGGATGCAATATGTAACAAAGGAAGTTGAAATATTTCCCCATTTCCCCTACGTGGTCTTTGTGACGAGCAATGTTTCGAGTTGAGAAGTGGTCGGGGCGATCTCTTCCGCTAATGGTTACTACACATGATCCGTTTCAAATCCTGGAGCTGCTTTTCTTTTGTATGACATGCAACCTCATCCACATGTGAATAATAAAATGAGCGACGCAAACTTTGAGCGACAACCCTTGCTCAAGCTTTACAAGATCTATAAGAACCCCCGCGCCCCCCCCCTCCCCACACACACACACACTGGCGAACGCCCAAACCATTAAACGTCTTCAAACGAATTCTATGCTTGTGTCCGCATTGTGAAGGTGCAACGACCACGAAGAGGGAGCCAGTTTTTCTTCTTCAATACTTGTGCAAATGTGAAATATAGGTTGGAAGTAGTTCATTGTTATGAGCGCTAAAAACGTAAGTGATCACGCAATAAAGTAATCGGAAAAGTAACGATTACTTCTTTAAGTAATGTCCAATTACTTTTGCCGTCGAGTAATCAAGTAATCTAGTCGAATACTTTTTAGCCAAGAGTAATAGTAACTGTAATCGATTACTTTTTTTTAGTAACGTGTACAAGACTGCACGCAAGGCACCCTTGCACAGCTTAGGAACTAGCGGGATTTTATATGTTTATGTGTTTCGCTATCGTGTTCCATCGTTATTTTACAGTAAATATATTCGAATTTTAGTCAGACCTTTTGAATAACACCCAGCTTTCAAAACGGAACCTGTTTATTTCATCTTAGTTAGCTGCATGATTCCATTTTGATGTTGACATGTAAAAATATTTTTAAAAAGGCACTGTTCTTTTTTCTAGAAAAGCTAAGCAAATTTTATGTTAAAAATTGGGGAAACTTTTTTTTGCGCATCTTGTCTAGCCCAGTTAAATAGTTTTGTGTTGAATGTTGTATCAAAAAGCGAAAGGCTTTCTAGCCTAAGTTACATCTGCCGGAGTATTAGGCTTGAGGCCGCGCATGGCACTTATCACAGTCATCACACATGTGTCTCACAAAGTAGGTGCGTGCTTACTTTTGCTTTTGAAAATAGGTAACACGAGGCATCGAAACATGCTCGCCGCTCTACTGTGACGAGGATGTCTAAAAGCCAGCGACAGGGAAAGGTTTTATTTTCCGGCACCCATTCCGCAGCGAGGGGCAGGGTAATTGTAGAACTTTTGCCCTCCTAATTTTTTCCAGTGTGATGCACCTTGGATTCATTGAATGTCACGAAGCTTGCACGTGGTCTTTATTTATTACATCAATTATTATTCCTTCATAAAAAATGCAATTAAAAAAAAGCAAAATAGGCCTCAAATTATACACAATTGACTGATCTGTATGCCAGAACATTAACAAGTGTTGTGTTAATCAGGTTTTCTACCAGCCAATTCAAAATGTTAATGTTAAAAGGTGGATGATCCTGCACAGGGTATTTGAGCCACTTCCTGCCGCCATGACAGGAGGACGAAGATACTTCAGATTCTCCTATGTTTACCTCGTGTTTTGGTGGGCGCGCAAGGACTCTTTGCTCACTAGCGAGCATTTGCGTGAACGTTTCGCTTTAAACATTCCCCCGACTCCTGCCTTTAAGTTCCCGAAGCGCACCGGCACGAACCAAATATCGGAAGTGAAGTTCTTTCAATTATCTCGAGACTATGGACGCCACTGTCACCACCTAGCTTCGGTTGTCGCAGCTAAGCAGACGGTGCTCGCCTACTTCCATGTTCTAGCGACAGATGGCGCAACGTAACAAGCGCGATGATGCGGTGCCGGCGGCGCCTCGACCAACCATTTCCGTAGATTGAAAGATGCCAACCGGCGTGTGCACTCAGATGTGATCCCCTCAGGCCGCTGTCATTGTTCGCAAATGTGACTACTCGTCACGTGATCAAACCAAATACATGACGTCATATAAAAGATGGCAGCGCCCAGGCAGCGGCAAGCCCCAGCTGGGCCGGAGCTTGTCGGATGCTTTATTTGTTGTCGTTGGTCTCAGCGAGTTGATTTCAGATGAGAGAGCCGTCATATGAGACCAGTAGAAAGCGACTTCAGAGTTGAGCGTGGTCTCCCATATAGGTATACCGTGGAAATACGGACGAAGGGTGTGCATTTCGCTGTTGATCGACGGGGATTTCGCTACAAGAGACAATTGCCCTGAGTTTCTCGGACCTCTGATTGATTCGGATATCGCTAGAATAAACTTTAACGCGAAATTTTTGTGCCCTCGTTCACCGTCGTAGTCTTTGAAGTCTGCAGTGGTGCGTGTGCAATATATTTGGATACGCGGTTTAGCTAACGAAATTCAGCTGGTCGTGCTTGGCAGTGTGTAATCATGGTGCCGCTTTGTTCAAATGTCCGAAGGCTCATTTTAGTTGTGCGGCGCAACGGAGAGCTGTCTTGAAGCTGGTAGTTCCCGTGTCGTACTAGGTGATACTTTGCTGCTTCCGAATTGTTCTGGCGTAGACGTGCACTTTCGCGGATCATAGGTATTGCAGTTAGTATTGAATCCGCTAGTCGGCACAAACTTTTCATTTTTTGCATATGTGTTGCATTCTTTGCATGGGTTTTGCAGTCGGTATTGAATCTGTTTTGCCGACACAAACGTTTCGTCAACACTCGTTACGCGAATTGCAAGCTGTATGGGCATCTCGTCGCGCGTGTATCACATGGGCGCGTGTTTCCGATCCAGCCCGCCCGTTCACGCCGCTTTGCAGCGACAGTCTGCAGCGGCTCATGACCAGAAAAATGGTCCCACATCCATTTCTGTTTAATCCGTCCGAGGCAGTCTTCAAAACTCCAAAGGAGAGTACTTATTCGTACAGGATGCAGCTAAAACAATGCACCTTCTTTGCTTGTCAGGATAAACTCTTGTCTTTCAGTTTTGTTATATTGTCACGGATTCTTGGTCCAGTCCTTCTATCAATCTTTAGTATTCTGGAAAGTTCCAGGCCATGCTTCGCTATCATCGAATGTTCTGGTGGAGGTGCTGGGTGTTTTACCTTCAGCCCATTGCTCTGTCTTGACCATGGCGGCTCCTCAATCGAGTTTCCCAACAACTGGACACAGGTGGCGGACTGTCGCGCGTTTTACACTCCCGGCGAGGCGTGAACCGAGTTCAATCCCGAGCTCGGCAGAAAAACCGCAAGACGAGCGAGTCCCAGAAGGGCGCACCCCGCAAATACACCACTAAGAACCTGAAATCCGAGACAGTCGTTGCTACAAGGAAGGACCACCCGATTTTGGTCTCCTGCCAGAGGAACCAAAGCTGACTATGCCAACGATGACAAACCCGTAGCGGCAAACCGTTATTTGCACCATTATTTGCATTGCCGTCGCACCTCGCACTCCAACGCTCTTTCACGGAGAGGTTTTTAAGACGTGGAGGACTGGATTGAACAATATGACCGCGTCGCCCGCCACATAGGGTGGACAGATGACCAGTACCTGCAGAACGTATACTTGTCATGGAAGAAATGGCGAGGCATTGATTTGAAAACGACGCATCCTTCTCAGTGTCATGTGAAGTTTGCAAGATCGAGCTAAAGGTCACGTTCGACAGCCAACATCGGCGAGAGAGAGTCGAATACCTAATTTGGTCGAGGACATGGCCCCAACAAGAGCATTACCGCCTTCGTGGGGGATGTTTTTCATCTAATCGAGCGCCCCCGCCGACCCTCATGCTAAAGACGACAATTCTATGGCTGCCTGCACTTGAAAATATGATTCTAACATCCAATCCTGCATATAAACACGCACACCCCTAGCACCCCACAAAGTGGACTTCGACACCCTGTTCCATATCACCCAGAAATTTGTGGTACCACTCCAAAGTGAGAATGAACCTATTGCGTGGGAAACTCAAAATCAGTCAAGGGTGAAATGGTGCCAAGGCATGCCGTACCAATTCCAAAGTGGCGACCCTAAAAGTAAATATCTGACATTTTAAAAAGCGAGAAAACGTAGGCCATTCAGAGTGCTCTCAAACCAAACACCAGTCATACGTTTGGATATTGTCTGGAGAAACTCCACTGCTGAGGCCTAAATAGCCAAGAAGTGATAAGAAGAAAATGGTGTAAATCTTTACAACCAATGGGCATGTGGCCACAGTCGCCTGGAAAACCAAAGACTCCAGAACGATACTCCATAGTTTGCCTGCCAGCAGTCTACTAGGGGAGAGACGACCAAAATCGGCTTGACGTGATGAAGAAGAAAAATGGGGATAGGAAAACAGAGATTAATCTGGTTTGCTAGTCCCGGTTGGCTACTCTGCCTAGGAAGGGGGGGGGGGGGGGGGGGGGGGGACGGGGGGATATGAAAGCTAAAAGAGAAAACTGAAAAAAAGAAAAGAACAGTTTTGTCCTTCAACATGGAAGCAGACGTGAAAGCACAGGCCAGCTGGAGTACAAGTCCTCATCACAATCCTCAGATCGGGAGCAATGAAACGACGAACTATCACACACGTCTCAACCAATTTATGCCTACAAGAAGCAAGCTGGAAGAAGCTGTCAAGACAATACACAGAATGCCCGATCGAAGTTATGGTTTTGATCAGTTGCACAACGTGACTATCCGCGGGTACATCGACTGCATAGTAACCGCACATATGATTCCCTAAAACGGTGAAACCTGAACTAGAATAGCACAAGCAAAGAGCATAATTCAACTAGCTGCGGAACAGAAAGTGAGCTCGGCGTCTTTGTTCACAACCACTTTCACAGTAGAGAGCACTGCCATAGCGATGTTGGTTATGCGTGGAGCAACGGAACACAAGGCGATTATCGGTTGGCACACATCGTAAGAACGTAATAACCAACAAACGTAATAACCAACAAACTAATAACAGGCAGGGTCTCTGCGAAAATGGATTTTGCGGTTACCACAGTCCGGGGCTCACCGTCGAGACGCTCAAATAAATTCAAGCAGACTGGTGAGACCGTTACGCATCCACCATGGCCGGTGTACGTAGCACCATTTTGGAACTTGAGGCTTCATAACGCCTTCGTTCACTTTTTTGATGAAATTAATGGGAGAAACCAGTACACTGCTCGGCGTTCTTGGGAGAATATATATGGATGCCCTGTCGTTGACATAAAAAAGTGCACAATTTCGGGTAACTTATAGTGCTGAATGGGAATGCGCGGGCGTAAAAATACTGGTTATCAAACTGCGCGTGCACTATGTTAGCAAGAAAATAATAAAGTCATAAATCCTAGAGAAACTCATGAAGATAAGGTGGAATAACTTTCTTCCCGTCAGTCTCAGAAAGGGGGAAGACGCCTTGTACTTCCCCGCTTCTCGGACCAACTTGGGGGCGCGTCAGTGAAATGGAGGAAAACACGCTGTTGCTATCTTTCTGCTTTAAAGTGTGCAGTCACAACCTGTGACACGTGGAGCTCGGCGCTGTCCGCAGTGAACGCATCTGGAGCGAGGACCTCGGGGTCTCTAGACAACGTGTTGGCAGTGGCGAGGCTCTTGCCAGGAACACACTGCACCGTGAACTGGTAGCACAGCGGCCGGATGCGGAACCGCTGGACGCGGCGAGGCACGAGGTCGGTGGAGGCCAGCAACCGGACCTGCGGCTGGTAGTCGGTTTTGACAAAAGAGCTCAGATTGTGTGGAAGCTTTTTGAACGTCCGAATAGCCCACAGGACTCCCAGTGCTTCCTTCACGATTTGGCTGTACCGCTGTACCGCGACGCAAAGGCAACCGCTCGTCGCTCACCAGATGTTGCTCCTGCAGGAGGACGGCGCTCAGGCCGTATGAGCTGGTACCTGCAGAAATGGTTGCTGGATACTGTGTTCTATAGAGGCACGCAAGATCTGGGAGCCACCATCCTCTTTACCGCGTCTAAGGCTGAAGCTTAACCTGCGTCCCAGGTCCAGATCGCGTCCTTGTTTAGAACGAGCCTGATTTTCGCAGTGGAGGCGGACAAGCTCAGCAAGAAATTTCCAATGTGCTTCAGCATTTCCAGGATGTGCCGCACGCCTTGCACGTCTGTCGCAAATTCCATACTCGTGATGGCGGAGGTCCTTGTCGAGGTCTGGTGCTATGCCGTTGGTACTCAACACCACACCATGAAACTGGGGGGAGGACACCCCGAGATGGCACTTGGAGGCATTCGGCGTAACGCCCATTTGCTACAGTCTCTCGAGGGCCAACTAGAGTCTGCTGTCGGGTTTAGACCGGCCTCTGCGATACACCAGGATGTCGTCTACCATGTTCGCGCATCCTTTAATTCCCTCAAAAATCAGTAACATCGGGTTCTGGAACAGATGTGGGGCCCAAGTAATTCCGGAGGGCATGCAGCGACAATATAATTGCCGAAGGGTGTTATGAACGTCATGTGTTCCAGGCAGCTTTCGGAGAGGCCTACCTGGTAAAACCCAGACATCGCTCCCAGTTTCATGAAGACGGTGGTGCTTCCCAGCAACCCGAACGCCTGGTCGACGGTTGGCATAATATGCTGCTATCGGAGGATGACCTTGTTCAGCTTGGTTAAGTCGACGCGCAGTCGATAGCCTACCGGTGCCTTGGGATCCCCGACAAGGCGGGCGCACCATGCCGTAGGAGTCTCGACCCCCGACCACTAAGAAACACCACTGTTTGAACACAAGGACACGCCTCCTTTCCGCAGTAATTCAATGCTGTTCAGCCTTCTTTTCCGAGAGCACACAGAGTGCAACTTGCATGAAGTGACACGCAGACGACAGCGACATTGGCCATAGTACGATCGCAGTTACGGTCTAGATCAGCGTCACAACATGAATATTCGCAGGTTGATCGATTGTACCATAGTCGCACAAACGGTTCCCTCAAAACGCTGAAATCCGAAATAGAAGAGCAACAGGGAGCATATGCCATCTTGCTGTGAAACACACTGTGACCTGAGCGACGAGTCACGTCTTCTTTCACAACCAATTCCAGGATAGACAGCACTGTTTTAGCGATACTGGTGATGCAAAGAGACACAAACCAAGATGATCATGAGATAATAGCGCTTCATGCTACAAAGGACCGCAAAGGACGATACGAGTCACCGGAGCCATTACACAGCTCGGAGGGTGTCACGTGCCCTCCCGGTTGGGTAGAACGACGCGGGAAATGAGAAGTCACGAGACAGGTTACGAACTATGGATAGCCTCGTGTAGCTCGTAGCATCAATCGCAGTACGTCCCCAGGTGAAAATCCGACAGGCTAAATATCTATGAACAAAAAGTAAGGGCGCAAACGAGCTGGTGTACATTGCACATGGCTGAAAAAAACCCGAGACTGCGGGTAAACCACACAACACTAAAAGGTCTCTAGTGTTGTGTCGTTTACCTACAGTCTCGGTTTTTTTTCAACCATGTAAATATCTATTCTTCGTGTGGGCGTGTATCAGTGTGTGTGTGTGGGTTGTCTTGCTGCTATGCAATATTCCTCAAGGAAAGAAAAAGCGAACGTAAACATCAACATAAAAGCAAAATTTGCAGCCGTCGGCACGTTTGTTCCGCGGTGGCGAAATCTGGAGGCGCCAGAAGGCGAAAGCTGCGACGTGTTCGATACTGCGGCACCGGTCACCGGGACGCCAGTCGCCCAGACCACTGGACGCGGCTTGAACAATATTTTTTTGTGTTTGAGTTTTCTAGAAACAGGAAGTCGCCCCTTGTCTCTCTTATGTTCTTTCTTTTATCGTCTTTTGACCAGGCATCTGCAGTCTTTCCCCTCTTCAACTCAGTCGTTCGAGCAAGTCGTTCGGGCGTGCGGTGTGGGTAGTGGCCCTTTAGATCTGAATGAGCATCGTACTGGCGTGAGGTCGTTATCACTCAGTACTGCGTAGTGCCCTTTGAAGACCCCAGGCTATAGCAGTCGTACTGCACTGGCTAAATTTCTAATCTACATTGGGTAACAATGTCGCCAGACTCTCGCAGACTAGATTCCTGCGGTCTAAAGAACTAAACATCTACTTTGTTTTTGCGGGTAGTTTGCGAGTAGGTGCGTGCTACCATCATGGCGTCACTGTGTGTGCTCGCTCATTGACTTCACATGTGAGTACTGTATTTTGGCTTTTTCCAAGTGCTTGTATAACCATCTTTCATTTTTATTGAACGGTGTTTGCGTTAAGAATTCAAGATCACAAGACGAAATTAAGCATATACTTGTTTTGCTCTCCATGTTTCGCCGCGCGGCTTCTGATGACCTATTTTTTTTTCTTTTCTTTTTAAATATAGATGACGCTGCGTTGGACGCACCTTTTCTTCTTAACAATTGGCGGGGATTGTGGACTTGATTTTTTTAAGAACTGGTTTGAAGTGGTTCGCGCTTGGTGGAACAGTAACCGAACCGTTATTTCAAAAGCATCACTGAGCCAGATCCGAACCGGAACAAAATGCAAAGCTACTGAACTCAAACCCGAACCGAACCGTAATGATGACCGGTTCGACCCCTTGGACATTAAAAAAATGCCTGCGCGTTTACTTACGCGTAAAACACTCAAGGAGCGAATCTCTGCAAATTACGAAATCAGCTCAGCGAATGATGAGGCGGAGCATCCCTTTAGACGTAATAATGAAGTCTGCGCTGCGTCACTGCGCAATGCAAAGCGTCATACTTGTATTGCGCAATTCCGTGTTTTTTTCGGATAAGTAGATGCGCACTGCGCAGGCATTTTTTATAGTGTACTCTTGACCAGCCTATCGTCTAGTTTGGATGGAACACAAATAAAGAACTGGACTAAATGTGTTCAGAAATGGCAAGCATCGTACAGCAAAGGTAAAAGCTTAGGTTTTAAGGCACGCCCCATATTACGGTGCCACAATCCCTTCTGCTGGCGCCGTATACCAATTCCACTTTGTCAGCGGAATTCTGTTCTTGCCGCAATGCATGAAGATTAGGTCTGCTACCCGCGGCTTCGCTTCTAACAGCGCACTAACGGTGCTCTTATGCAGGTGTTCAAAGCAGAGAGCAAGATAGCTTCTTGCGCCACCCACGATGCCTCAACGGCGACTCGCCGACGCCAATTCATGCTGTACATAGGCATTTTATTGTTATAGACCTGTCTCCATGTCGTCGCTGCCATTTGTTTTGTCAAAACTGAGCCGCTCACACCACCATCGCGAATATTTATTTACTTCTCGCCATCAACTGCAAGGAAGGCGCGGCTCACATTTTATTACGCCGAAACGTTACCAATGAGCCCGTAACCGTCACGTGAGATTACGTTTCTGTTGCGCTTCGGGTTTAATATCAAATGTTTGATTTGGGTTGCAGTTTTGTTCCGGCTAAGTTAAAAATAATAATTTTGCTTCGGTTTCCGGTTTGGGCTCGGTTGGAAATTATTGTTAAAATCTACCTGCTAATTTCGTATGATTGTAACAGCCGCTTTGTCGCGTCTCGCGGCGGCAGGAACGGCACCTTGTTCGTCTGCAACTTTTCAGTCTTGGTTGCTTCACCGCGGACGTACCATTGTCATCCTCGAAGGAGCATATATTAGTGAAATGATCAAGCCGTCAGTCACCTCAAGTGCAATGGTGCTGTAGCAACTTTCCATGCTCTAGCGAATTGCGCCATCAGCACGTTGGCCCAAAATGAAGGCCGACACAGCTCGCATCAGAAGTGAGCCCCATTCCATCTCCTCTCCATTCCGGGAAAAAAGCATTTAATTCCATTTTCATTCCGCTCTTCGCAGCGCTGCTCTCATTCTATTCCCATTC